GCCTCCCAAAGTGCTAGGATTACAGGCATGAGCCACCATGACTGGCTTAATTTTTGTATTTTTAATAGAGACGGTGTTTCACCATGTTGGCCAGGATGTTCTCAAACTCCCGACCTCAGGTGATCCACCTACTTTGGCCTCCCAAAGTGCTGGGATTATAGGTGTGAGCCACCACGCCCGGCCATTTCTGTGAAATTTCAATTGGAATTTCTTTTGTTTGACCACAGCATATATTTTTAAGGATTATTTGTATGCCCTTTTCTGTGGTGAATTATCTGTTTATATTCCTTATCTTTTTTTTTTACCTATTAGAAACAATAAGCATTGTGTCTGTCATATGAGTTGTAAGCGTTATTTTTCCAGTTTGTTGTTTGTCTTTGCTTATGGAGATTTTTGTTTTTAATGTTTTCTTTCTTTAGAGATAGGGCCTCACTCCATTATCCAGGCTGGAGTACAGTGGCACGATCATAGCTCACTGCAGTCTTGAACTCCTGGCCTCAAGTGATCCTCTTGAGTAGCTAGGACTACAGGCACTTGCCACCACATACAGCTAAACTAAAAAAAAATTTTTTTGTAGATGAGGTCTTGCCAAGTTGCCTAGGCTGGTCTGGAACTCCCGGGCTCAAGGGATCCTCCTGCGTTGCCCTCCCAAGGTGCTGGGATTACAGGTGTGAGCCACTGTGACCAGCTAGGTTTTAAATTTTTTTCTTTTTTTTAGACGGTGTCTTGCTCTGTCACCCAGGCTGGAGTGCAGTGGCCTGATCTTGGCTCACTGCAACCTCCGCCTCCTGGGTTGATTCTCCTGCCTCAGTCTCCTGAAGGTTTTAACATTTTTATACAGTTAGTTAAGTATTTTATTTTATGGTTAATGGATTTTGTTTATTTTTTATTTTTATTTATTAATTTAATTATTATTATTATTATTTTTGAGATGGAGTTTCACTCTTGTTGTCAGGCTGGAGTGCAATGGCATAATCTCGGCTCACTGCAACCTCCGCCTGCCAGGTTCAAGCAATTCTCCTGCCTCAGCCTACTGAGTAGCTGGGATTACAGGCGTGCGCCACCACACCCGGCTAACTTTGTGTTTTTCTTAGAGATGGGGTTTATCCATGTTGGTCAGGCTGGTCTTGAACTCTTTACCTCAGGTGATCTGCC